GTGTGTGTGTGTGTGTGTGTGTGTGTGCAAATGCAAAACAGATTAGTTTGCATTCCTCCTTCACCCACAACCACTAAGCATTTCCCAGCAGGCCACTACATCTGTTCCTGTCCACTAGCAAGGGAACACATGGCACACCCAACTTCAAGGGATTGTGGGAAATGTAGTCTCCAGCTGGTAGTTTCCTGATTGTCTAAAATCCCTCTCTCCCCTCCCACACCCTCCTCCAAATAAATCTGCTCTGCTAGCCATTTGGATTTAGACACACCTCTAGTGACTTCTCAGAAGCTCAGTAAAGCAGAGCATACAGTCCCAAAGGGACTTAGTTCTCAACTCTTGGCTTGGTCTTTACCAGCTCCACCCATAAATATTTCGACCTGCCTCCATGGTAGCCCATGAATAAGTTTGTGTCGCTGGTCACAGAATTGGAGCTCTGGAGTTGCAGCCTGTGTGAGACCATAGTCTCTGTGCGCTAACACCTTGAATAGACGCACAGCAGAGCTGACTGTTGTTTTTATTTCTGTTGTTCTATTTACCAACAAAGACTCAGGAGTCAGATATTGGAGTGAGAATCTGCTAGATTAGAGAAACTGTCTTCCTAGGTCCTCTATACTGTCTATGGCTAATTCTTGTCATTGGCTCCACTCCCTGATCCAAGGTCAATTTTTTTAACACAGTGTCCGAGTTTCACAGTGAGATCAAATATCCCACAACAGCTGACCTTGCAGGATTATTGTAAGGTTCAAACGAGACCGTCTTTTAAAAGATCTTTTATTGTCTGAAAATTCACAGGCAAGGGCTGTTCCCGTTCCTACCTGACTGGTCTGCCAGCAGTGCAGGGGCAATCATGGACACATGCCCTTTGTAACATGATTGACATAATACGGATACAAGGTGGCATGTGTTTTTGTTTTTAAATTATTTATTGTATGTGTATGGGTGTTTTGCGTCCATGTATGTCTGTACATCATGTGCCTGAAGTGCCTCTCCAAGGCCAGAAGAGGGAGTAGGATCCTATGGAACTGGAGTTATGGACCGTTGTGAGCCATGTGGGTGCTGGGAATGGAACCGAGCTTCTCTGCAGGAGCAACAAGTGCTCTTGTTGTTGTTACTTTGTTTGTTTGAGACAAACTATGTAGCTCTGGCTGGCCTAGAACGCCCTATGTAGACCAGGCCAGCCTCAAATTCAAAGATCCCCTGGCCTCTGCCTCCCGACTGCTGGGTACCACCATGCCCAGCTCTAACCGGTGCTCATGACTGCTGACCCGAAAAACTAACACCCCTGGCCTCTGCCTCCCGACTGCTGGGTACCACCGTGCCCAGCTCTAACCGGTGCTCATGACTGCTGACCCGAAAAACTAACACCCCTGGCCTCTGCCTCCCGACTGCTGGGTACCACCATGCCCAGCTCTAACAGGTGCTCATGACTGCTGACCCGAAAAACTAACACCCCTGGCCTCTGCCTCCCGACTGCTGGGTACCACCGTGCCCAGCTCTAACCGGTGCTCATGACTGCTGACCCATCTCTCCAGCTCCTGTTGTTTTTCTGTCGTTACATAAATAAATGTGAAAGAAAAAAGGAGAGATGTAAAAAGGTCCAGAAGGCTGAAGCAGGAGACTTGCTGTCAGTTGGAGGCTAGCCTGGACTACATAACAAGTGAACAAAGAAAGAAACAGGGCCTGGTGAGATGCCTCTGAGGGTAAAACACCTGAGGCCAAGCCTGAAGACCTGAGTTCAATTCCCAGGATCCACACAGTGGAAAAGTGAATCAATCCCTGAAAGCTGTTCTCTGACTTCTACACACGTACCCACGTGTACTCACAGAAGTAATAAATGTTAAAAACAAACAGCATCAAAAAACTGTGGGGTAGGTGGCACACACCTTGAATCCCAGCATTCGGGAGACAAAGGCAGGCAGATCTCTGTGAGTTGTAGGTCAACCTGGTCTATATTGCGAGTTCCAGAATGGCCAGGGCTACACAGTGAGACCCGGTCTTTTAAAAACAAAATAAGACGAAACCCTAATACTAATATAAATATCACACCTTAAAAGGGGTTTTGTTGTAATTGTTGCTTTTGTGAGTCTTATTGTTTCATAGTCTGACGCCAAACACCTAACCTTGGACAATGTTCTGGCCCTTAGCCTCCCAGAACGTGGGAACCACAGGCATTTACCACTGTGAAAGTTTCCATGTGTATTCACAGGCACACACGTGGAATGGGAGGCCAGTGCTGTGGGCCACAGGAATATATCATAAGAATTCAGCTGGTTATGGCAAAGTCACTACCTGGAGGGATCAGGGAATTCCTCCAGAGGAAGCCAAATTCCAAGGAGTTTTTGGTGTTACTTGGCTTGTTATATATCAACTGTCTTCTGTTATGAAAATCATGTGTGCCTTCATAGTTTTCCCAATTGACTTTTCCCTAAGAAGGACTAACAGTGTGGACTGATCACTCTCTAGACATACACATTCCAAGTATTTGGAGAACAGCCTCAGGAAAGGCTTTCTCTGGAATCAGATATCTCCCTTAGCCATATTCAAGGACTAGCAGTAATAACAGTCCACATGAAAGTCTCCTGATTAAAGATAAATTCCACAAGGAGACACCACCTAGGTCAGGTGGACGTTAAGTAATAGCTTTACACAATTCAACTTGGACCCTCCTTTCTTACAGCCTTACTAACTTTATAGACCTCTAACTCCTTACCTAATCACTTCTAGGAATATTTAGATAACCTTCTGTGGTGACAACTATGCTCAGCCAGAACCCCAGTTCAAGCCTCCTTGTAATTATCATCATTGGCCGCATTCGGCCAGGTCCATCCCCATATGGAGGAAAGTACCTTAGCAGAGATACCTCTGTGCTTTCTAAGAACAGACTTAAGCATCCAGGCTACCTGTTTGAGAAGACCTGGCGGATGTGTCAATTAAGCTTAACTTTCTCCATTCCCAAAACTTACCTCTAGTTCCAGATCTCCCTTTAACTATCACCAGAAGCATCTAGCTGTACACAGGCTGCCTAGCAAATGAGCACACTTTTCCCCCACCCGGCAGAAAAACAGCAGATAGCTTGGACAGACAGGAGTCACAGGAAAAAAGAAGACAGTTTTATTTTCTCCCATTGACCTAGCAACTTATAGATTCTTAACATTTTCTACTAATCACGTTTAAGACTATAGTTTAATAATTATTGTCTCTCAATGTGATTCATATCACCCCTCCGTTTGACCCTGGAAGCCTGGCTTTATATACCAGGACTTCCAGGGCACGAGGGATGGAGAAGAGAAAAGAGAATGGAAGAACTAGACGGGTAAGAGTTTGAGAGGAACAAACTGAGATGGGGAAGAACTAGATTGAAGGGCTAGAGGAGAGTACTAGAGGAATGAGATGGAAGATGAGGAAGAGCCAGATGGGGAAGTACCAGCTGGGTAAGAACAAGCTGAAAAGGACCTAGATGAGGCAGAACTAAGACGAGAGAATTGAGATAGAACGTAGAGGGAGCAATAGATAAATATAGAAAGAAATCAGGCAAGAAAGGAGCTAGACATGAGAACAGAACTGAAGCTGGGTATAAAGGATGTTATGCCAGAGGAATTAAAGCAAGTGGACTATAGAGCTCGGTGTGCTGAGATTCTATTTCCTGAAAATAGTCCTCGCCGTTAGTAGTTCTCTCTCCTGAGCCCCTGGGATGTATAATATTAAGGCTGGTCCCTCTAATATTATACAAGACCCCAGAGGACAGCCTCAGCTATTGACCCTTGCCTTCTGTCTTGTTTGAGACAGGGTGTCTCTGCTGTTCACTTCACTGCTAAGATAGCTGGTCTGCAATCCAGCAATTCTCCTGCCGCCTCCCACCCCACTGCCATAGGGGGCAGACTAGGATTACAGATTGGAATTGCTTTTCCATGGATTCTAGGGATCTGGGCTCAGGCTATCAGGTTAATGAAGCAAGTGTTTTACACACTGAGCCCTCTCTCCAGCCTCTAAAAGACTTCAATATTATCAAAAGATGATCAATATTCAAATTTTCCTAATTCATATTTATTTGTTTGTTTTGCTTATTTGAGACAATATATCTGTGTATTCCTGGCCCACTCTGTTTTTCTAAATTGTATTCCTGGAGCTGGGGAGATGGCTTAGTGGGTAAGGATGCTTGCTGCCAAGCCTGATGACCAGAGTGTAATCCTTGCGAGCCAAATGATGGAGGGAGAGAGCTGATTCCGGAAGCTGTCCTCTGGCCTCCATACGTGCTGTGAACTTGAAGGAAACATGCTAAACAAACCAGAAACAAATATAGGTTGTTTTTTTGTTTTGTTTTGCTTTGGTTTGGGTTTTGGTGGTTTTTTTTTTTTTTGTTTTTGTTTGTTCGTTTGTTTTTGTTTTTTGAGACAGGGTTTCTCTGTGTAGTTTTGGTGCCTGTCCTGCATCTTGCTCTGTAGACCAGGCTGGCCTAGAACTCACAGAGATCCACCTGGCTCTGCCTCCCAAGTGCTGGGATTAAACTGGCGGCACCACCGCCCAGCCTACAAATATGTTTTAAAAGTAAAAATGGAGCTGGGAGCCGGGCGGTGGTGGCGCACGCCTTTAATCCCAGCACTCGGGAGGCAGAGCCAGGCGGATCTCTGTGAGTTCGAGGCCAGCCTGGGCTACCAAGTGAGTTTCAGGAGAGGCGCAAAGCTACACAGAGAAACCCTGTCTTGAAAAACCAAAAAAAAAAAAAAAATGGAGCTGGGAATGGTGGCACACGCCCTTCAGTCCTTGCACTCAGGAGGCAGAGGCAGGCAGAGCTCTATGAGTTCAAGGCCATCCTGGTCTCCACAGCAAGTTCCAGGCCAGCCAGAGCTACATAGACAGTCCCTGCCTAAAACAGAATTCCTTATAACTTTAAATGTTGTGTTTCCCTCCCTGTTTTATTCATAATTTGCCAAGCTCTTGACATATGAAGAATATTACTAAAGTGAAGGTACCAACTCGCTGTTCTACCTCTAGGAAAAGTGATGGAGGCTTCAGGATCTTCTTCCCAGTCTCAAGACAGCAATGGAATCCACAGAGAAACAGAAAACCTAGACTGTAAGTTTTCTTTCTCAGACCCTTTGAGCACAGCCCCTGGGGAAGTAGATCCAGCCTGGTTGGGACCATCAAAGACGCTGCTCAGGTTATGATGGACACATCAAAGCTGTAGCAGAGCAGTGATTTTCTATTCATGTGCTCCTTCCAGCCTGTTCCCACACTTTCTACCTAAGTAGGTCCTCAGTTGCTCCCCAGATTTTGAGAAGTTTCTGGGCAGCTTGTTTTGGAAGTGGGGAGCATCTCTAGAAGGTGGGAAGGGTCTCATGCATCTGCCCTTGGAGAAACGGACAGTTTAGGGCTTGATCACAGGCTGCCCTCTGTGTGACTTAAGAGAACCCTGAGCTAGTACTGAGTCTGGAAGTCTCCAGGTGGAGTATCGAGGACAAGGGGCAAAGGGGGCTTAGAAGACCCTTTTCTAGGGTCTGTATGCAGAGGAAATTTTGCCTTGGGCTGTCTTTGACACCCCCACCCCTACCTAGGGATCTCTGAGAACTTTGATCTTGGAAACCTTCCATTGGGCTTGGCTATTCAGGGAGTAGTTCTCCCTGTTGGCTTGATGAGTGCTCCATGGAGAGGCTGTACTGTTGCTGGGGACAGGGCAGGGGGCAGGAGGCGCTCACCATCTTGCCTGTGTGCATCCAGACCAAGAGACAGAATTCCACAAGCAAGATGGGAAGCTCCAAGAACGATATGAGAGAAAGAAGTCTTCCTCCTCCTCATCTTCCTCTTCTTCTTCCTCCTCATCATCTTCCTCCTCCTCCTCTTCCTCCTCAGGTATAGCAAACATTCTTAGGACTGGGGTGTGACTTGATGGTACAGCGCTTGTCTCATATATACAGAGCCCTGGGTTCCATCCCCAGCGACACACACACACACACACACACACACACACACACACACACACACACACACTAATAGAAATACATTTAGAAAACATATAGGAGGGGGCTGGAGAGATGGCTGAGGTTAAGAGCACTAGCTGCTCTTCTAGAGGTCCTGAGTTCAATTCCCATCTGTAATGAGATCTGGTGCCCTCTTCTGGCCTGCAGACATACATGCAGGCAGAACATTGTATACATAATAAATAAATAAAATCTTTAAAAAAAAAAAAGAAAGACGCCTTTAATCCCAGCACTCGGGAGGCAGAGCCAGGTGGATCTCTGTGAGTTCGAGGCCAGCCTGGGCTACCAAATGAGTTCCAGGAGAGGCGCAAAGCTACACAGAGAAACCCTGTCTCGGAAAAAAAAGAAAAAAGAAAACATATAGGGCTGAATTTATCACAATATTGGAGCTATCATTTATTGAGTACTTACTTCCAGGTACTCTTCCAAGTACTTTACAGGTAAGAACTCAGCCAGTTCTCACAGGACCCCATTACGGAAGATATAATACTACTGTTACGTCTCGTTTTTTACAGGTGAAGCACAGGGAGGCTATGTGACCTGCTTTAAGAAAGCTCAGTAACAAACTTGAAGGTCTTTCTGGGACTGGGGAGTGTGTGTGAGTGGGTTCTCCGCCTGCTCAATTGGAGCTTCAGCACTGTGATTTATTTTACATCCTGGGCTTGAGCTTACAATTCCTAGGCTTAGGCTGAGGGTGCAGCTCTGCATGGTTGGGTACTTGTTTAGCACAAAGCCCCAGGTTTCTTCCTCAGCACAGCACAAAACTGGTATGGTGACACGCATCTATAATCCTACTACCCAGGAAGTGGAGGCAGGAGGATTAAAAGTGCACGGTCATCCTTAGCTAGTCTAGGCTACATGAAAGAATAACTACTAAATAAAGCCAAGGATGATAGCACATGCCTTTAATTCCAGCACTTGCGAGGCAGAGGCAAAAAGATGGGCAGGCTGTTATAGACTAGCCTGGGTCACACAGAGAAACTGCTCCCAGCAAACAGAAAATAAACACACCCTCGAAACCCCAAGTTTATGTTATGACTAAATAACATAAATTTTTTTCTTGTTGAAAGAAAAAAAACTCTAGAAAGGAAAGAAATAGTTGGGCATGGTAGCACATGCCTGGGATCCCAGTACTCAGGAGACAGAGGCAGGAAGATTACCACAAATCTAAGACCATTCTGCTCTACATAGTGAGTTCCAGACCAGCAGGACTACATAATGAGACCCCGTCTCAAAAGTAAAAGGGGGTGGGAATAAAGTCACTCAACATCTTATTCATTAAGATAAACACACATCTGTTATTTTGATTTGTAGCCAGCCCTCTACATTCATGGACTCTGCATGCTCAGAGCCAGCCCACCAAGGAGTGAAAAACAAGACAAACTGTGTCTATACTGAACACAGATGGCTGCTTTATTGTCACATTACTAAACACCACCAAGTATGAATGAGTAGCATTTACACTGTAGTAAGTATTACAAGTAATCTAGCAGTGGTTTAGATAATAGGGAGGGGTCAGCAGGATGGCCCAGTGGGTAACGTGCTCGCTGCCACGCTGACCACCTGAGTTCAATCCCCAGGACGCACGTGACCCACACGGTCCAAGGAGGAAAGCAACTCCTGAAAGTTGTACTCTGAACTTCCACACATGCGCTGTGGCGTATGCTTCCCCGACCACACGCAAATATTTTTTTAAGTTAAAAAAAATAATACAAGAGGACACGTACAGTTTCTATGCAAATACTACACTGTTGTGTATAAGGGACTGGCGTGTCTGTTGATTTTGATGTGTGTGGCAAGTCTTAGAACCTTCTCCCATGGGTACCAAGGGACAACCGTATGACCAGACATCTGTGTCAGTTTAAATGACATGAACACTGACTTGGAAGCACAGCTAATTGACGTCCTGGAGTTTTAATGAATCCACAATGGATGGGAAGTCCCTATACACACTGAGGGAACTCATCTGGGGCCATCTGGGTAGTCCTGGGAGAAAGCCCTGTAGCCCAGAGCTCCTGGCTCTGAATTCTTAGACCATTGACTAGTCTAAGATGTACACAACTCAGCCATGCTGTCCGTCCCTTCAGGGTCCTGCTCCAGGCTAGGCAGCCTGAGGCAACGGAAGAGGCAGGCTGTGACCTTCAGGAGCTCAGGTGGTTAGAGAGACAGGCATCATCCAGTCCTCCTGGTGACTGACTCAAGACAGTTAGTGCCCTGGAAACCCCCAGTGAGGAGGATAAGGTGAGGGTCTGAGCAGCATGACAGGGTTCCCATAGGACGTGTGACTTCAGTTTAACTTCACAATCAAGGAGACAAGTGGGAAAGAGTTCCAGGCCGGTAGACACAAAGCAGCAGACACCCAGAGTCCTGTGACACCACGAGGACAGAGATGATACAGCATCGTGCTTGGTGGACTCTCCGTAAGATGGTGCGTCATAAAACTTGGTTGCCTCTTCAGGAAAGCCTCCCCAGGCATCAGCAGAAGTAAGGCTCAGTCAGAAAATACAAAGAGGACAGTGACACAAAAAGTTAGGAGTTGCTGGGTGGTGGAGGCGCACTTCTTTAATCCCAGCACTTGGGAGGCAGAGCCAGGCGGATCTCTGAGTTTGAGGCCAGCCTGGTCTACAGAGTGAAATCCAGGACAGGCACCAAAACTACACAGAGAAGCCCTGTCTCAAACCCCGCCCCCACTGTCCTAACCTGGAGCCAGGCAAAGTCCCTTTCTCCGTGACTGTGGTCCTGGCTCCTTCCAGCCTGAGGCCCTACAGCTTGTATTTGCTTCCCACAGACAGCAGCGATGAGGACCATCATTCCAGAGGTCCCAGGGAACATCGAAGGAAGCCACGAAGGGACGGCTCTCCTGGTAGGTAGCAGGCTCCCCACCTTTCCTTTGCTTCTTGGCTCATAGCAGAGCTTAGTGGGCCGGTCCAGGAGGTTCCTCACAACGCTGTTCATACCTGGATGAGTGGGAAATAGCCTACTTACCACCCGACAACAGCTACGACAGCCAGACAGAAGCAGAAAGTGGGCTCTGTCTTGGTCATAACCATGGTTGTTGTTTTGAGGCAGGGTTTTCACTGTGTGGTCTTGGCTGTCCTAGAACTCACTATGTAGACCAGGCTGACCTCAAACTCACAGAGATCCTCTGCTTCTGCCTCCTGAGTGCTGGGGAAAGTGTGTGCCACCACACCCTGCTTTGTTTGGTTTTGGTTTTGTTTTGATTTTGGTTTTAGTTTTTGAGACAGGGTTTCTCTGTGTAGCTTTGGTGCCTGTCCTGAATCTCGCTCTGTAGACCAGGCTGGCCTCGAACTCACAGAGATCTGCCTGGCTCTGTCTTCCGGGTACTGGGATTAATGGCGTGCTCCGCCGCCGCCGCCGCCGCCGCCGCCGCCGCCGCCGCCGCCGCCGCCACCATCACCACCACCCGGCACTTTGTTTTTAATGAGCATTTCTCTAGCTCTGGCATGATAGGTGGCAAGTCACAGAACTCACTTGGCCTCAAATATATTTGCACGCCTTTAATTCCAGCACTCGGGAAGCAGAGCCAGGCGGATCTCTGTGAGTTCGAGGCCAGCCTGGTCTACAGAGCGAGATCCAGGAAAGGTGCAAAGCTGCACAGAGAAACCCTGTCTCAAAAAACCAAAAAACCATAAAACAGGAAGAAGGGGCCTGATGAGATAGCTCAGCAGGTTAAAGGCACCTGCCACTAAGCTTGATAAGCTGAGCTGCATGCCTGGGACCCACATAGGAGAGAACCAACTTCCAAAAGTTGTCCTCTGATCTCCACATGCGCACTGTGGTGTGAGCTCCATGCCCCCATGCAAATAAATAAATAAATAAATAAATATTAAAAGAGAATAGTTTACAAAACAGGAAAACATTAAGATATTAATAGTAATTATGATAGTGAAGTTGTGAGGCATATTTTTATTCATTTATTTTTGCAATACCCGGGTGGTACCCAGGGTTCATGCAAGTGTTCTTCCGCTGAGCTACATTGAGCTACAACCTCAATATCCCCTCTTCTGAAAAATGTATCGTTTATGTGTATGAGTGTTTTGCCTGCACGTATGTATGTGTACCATATGCGTGGTGCCCATGGGGACCAGAAGAGGGTGTCTGATCCCCTGGAAGATTGTTCTGTTGTGGGTGGGGGTTGGGAGCCAAACCTGGGTCCCCTGCAAGAGCAGCCAGTGATCTTTTTTTTTTTGGTTTTTCGAGACAGGGTTTCTCTGTGTAGTTTTGCGCCTTTCCTGGGACTCACTTGGTAGCCCAGGCTGGCCTCGAACTCACAGAGATCCGCCTGGCTCTGCCTCCCGAGTGCTGGGATTAAAGGCGTGCGCCACCACCGCCCGGCTCAGCCAGTGATCTTAACCCTGAGCCATCTTTCTAGTCCTGGGAAATCACTTTTGCCTAAATAAATAAAAGAATGAATGAATGAATGTTGTGAAAAGAAAAGAGCATCAGGGAAAGAATGGGTATTAATGAACGAATGTCTATCACAGAGTCTGGTACACAAAGTACTTGATAAATGCTACTTGCGATACTAGGAGTTGAGCATAGTTCTGTTTCTAGAGATACAACTAGCTGGCGGTCTGGGTATGTAGCTCACTGCGAAGTCTGTGCTTAGCATGCGGAAGCCTTGAGTTCAATCTCCAGCACCAGTAATGATGGTGATGATAAACAAAGCAGCCGCAAATTAAAAACAGCAACCCCAACCAGGAATTCCGGGTTAGGAGAGACCTGTGGGTCACCCCTCACTGTGTGTGTTTGGTAGAATCATTTCACTCTCTGTTTTCCTCTCCACCACCCCACGTCCCTGTGCTGGGACCAGATCCGCGTCTCTCACGTGCTAGGCCGAGCTCTCTCCCACTAAGCTCTTCCCCAAGCTGTAATCAAACCTTTGAGCCTCAGCTGCCACGCCTGCTTGTGTGCCTTGGTGCCTTCTCCGTCCGCACTCTTTCGATGAGAACCGATAGGAAATAGTCAATATAAATTACTTAGCCCACCATTGGCACACCTTAGAGCTCAATAAGTGACGAGTATTCTTATTATATGAAAATTGGAAGGTTAATTTATTTGTGTGTACGAGTGTTTTGCCTGCCTGTATGTACATGTGCAGTGTACATGCCTATGCCCACAAAGGCCAGAAGAGGAGATCGCCTGAAACTGGAATTACAGGCGATTGTGAGCTGCCATGTGGGGCCTGGGAACTGAACCTGGGTCCTCTGCAAGAGCAGCCAGTGTTCTTAACCTCTGAGCCATCTCTCCCGCCCGAGGTAACTATTCTTGACTGAGTGTCAGGTCCTCCCAGACCTGCAGTTTCATATCAGTAACAGAACATAGTAACCTCTGGGGCACTGAGGATAAATAACTGTGACTCTGTTTACCTTTTGGAGACTTCAGATGTAGGGAGATGGAGGTGGTTCTCAGACACTGGGGAGAGTTGACCAAGGTTTGTTTCCACCCAGGTGCTGACCACAGGGAACTGGAGGTGCTGAAAGATGATCTTCAGCTCTGTGGAGGTAACTGCTTGTCCCCCAGCTTTGAAGAAGAGAATCATGAGGGCTGAGGGCCCAGTGGGCACAACAAGGGGTGGGGTCTCATGATCTGAAGACTCCCAGGCAGACAGATGAGCCAGAGAGGCCACAGCCATTTAGGTGGGACTGGGGTGCCCTCTACAGTGATTACAATGGTTCAAGGACGGTCAGTCCTCTCTGCTGATTGGAACCCCAACTTTCAGCATGGTTGACTGGTCACCCAACAGATCTGGGCGCCAGATTGCCATCAACACAATGAGTGCGACCCACTCCACTCTCTTGGGACCCTGCTCTGTTTAAGAACGGCTCAGACCCCCCAGCCCCATTGAAGGGTGATCTTTATATTGTTTTATTTACTTACCTGAATTTATTTATTTGTTTATTTTAGCACTAGAGACTCAACTCAAGAATAGTTTTTTTTTTTTTTTTTTTTTTTTTTGGTTTTTTGAGACAGAGTTTCTCCATGTAGCTTTGCGCCTTTCCTGGAACTCACTCTGTAGCCTAGACTGGCCTCGTACTCACAGAGATCCTCCTGCCTCCGCCTCCCAAGTGCTGGGATTAAAGGCGTGCGCCACCACCGCCCGGCTCAAGAATGATTTCTTTGTTGTTATTTTGATTTTTTAAAAAGATTTTTATTTGTACTTTGATTTGTTTATTTTAATTTGTGTGTGAGTATTTTGCCTACATGTATGTCTGTGTACCATGTGCATGCCTGTGGAGGCGAGAAGAGGGATCTGGATCTCCTAGAATAAGAGTTACAAACAGATTCGAGCTGCCATGAGGGTGGGGACCAAACTCAGGTCCTCTGAAAGAGGAGCAAGAGGAGCTATTTCTCCTGTCCCCTATTTTTATATCTATGTTTCTGAGTGTGGGTTTATGAATTTGAGTGCAGTGCCAAAAGAGGCCAGAAGAGGGCATCAGATTCCCCTAAAGCTGGAACTACAGGAGGGTGTGAGCATCTAGTACTCTTAACCACTCTGACATCTCTCCAGTCCCTATTTTATTTTGTTTAAAAAAAAAAAAAGTACTGGCTTTCCATGGCTTGAGGTGTGTGTGTGGGGGGGGTGTGTGACTGCTCATTAGATGGAGCAGGAGCCCTTCAGCCTGCTCCGGTCCCCTCCCAGCCTACACCAGACCAGTGTAAGTCTCCAAGTAGGCCCTACCTTCCTCCAAAGTGCCCCTTCTCAGGAGAGCACCATCATGTATGTGCTCACTGATTCTCCTTCCATGCAGGTGCCGCTGGGGAAATGGTGCTTGCTGGGGAGACAGGTGAGTACCCAGGAAGGGGAGGGAGTCAAGGATACTGGAGATGAATGAGGTCTGGGTGTTGTCCTGATGAGGCAGTCTAGGGTCCTGGCCGTGAGACACAGGAACTCCAGGGCCACTTAGGGACCTGACTGCATGCAACAGGCATGAGAGGAGTTGTGGGGCATTGGAATGGGGGTCCAGGCAAGAGGAAGCAGACATCTGCCAGCTAGGAGAGGTCCCTTGAATCCCATGGCTGGAAAATTACCTAGAGCCTTTTCTTTTTCTTTTCTTTCTTTCTTTCTTTCTTTTTTTTTTTTTTTTTTTCGAGAGAGGGTTTCTCCATGTAGTTTTGGTGCCTGTCCTAGATCTCGCTCTGTAGACCAGGCTGGCCTCGAACTCACAGAGATCCGCCTGGCTCTGTCTCCCAAGTGCTGGGATTGAAGGCGTGTGCCACCACTGCCTTTTTTAGTGACTAGTCACTGGGTTGAAAGCCCCTGGCAAGGAGCCCTGACCAACCGGGCACTAACACTGAGTTTCTCATTTCTAGGACTCCGAAGGAGAGGTTCCGGCTCAGCAGGGGGTAAATATATAAGCTCCCAGGACAGCCAGAGGCTGTGTGGATTCCCGAGGGGCCAGGGAGGGCCACAAATGGTCTGAGAGAGTGGGCCAGTTTTAGCAGGGATCGCAACACCCACGGAACTCAGAAAGAAGTCTCCATCACAGAGGAAATGGAAGGAAGAACAGGGCTAAGCCTATAGAGGGATGAGGAAGTCAGCGAGGGTCTGGGGACAGCTATCCCCACCTTCAGGGTCCTGCCTGTGGCTCCTGTGAGCACCGGCTGACACACACACAAACACCCAGCCATCCAGTCTCTAAGTTCAGAGTGGCAATCTACAAAACACATCTCTCTCTCTTTCATTCTTAAGGAGAAGTGGAGGCCTCCCAGTTACGAAGGCTGAACATAAAGAAGGACGGTAAGTAGGTTGGTGTTCAGGAGCCGGCCGAGCTCACCTGGCTGGTCCAGATTTCTGTGCGTGTACGATGGCTGGCAGTTACAACGACAGTCACCCCAGTCACCTCTTTCTTGTACCCCACAGTTAGCAAAGTCCTCAGCTCTGATCTCACCTAGGAGTGTGTGTGTGTGGGGGGGGGGGTTTACAAGCAGTGATGCTTATCTTTCCATGTAGAAGCCACTGAGCCCCATGGTTGGTACGGGTCTTACAGCTAACGAAGGGAATGGCCTGGGCTTGACACCCAGTCATACGCTCCCTTTGCTATGCGTGAAAACCCTGGGAGATGAGTGTTTCTCAGGCCCGGTGGGGGGGACTTAGTTAGGTTTTGGGATTCATGAAGTTCTACTAAAGAAGTGATGAGACCTTCAGGCCTTCGTCTGCTCCAAGCCTGGAAGATTGTGAGGATAGGAAAAGGATACTTGGTTTTCTTTTTTTGTTTTTAAAGATCAAAAAAAAATTATTATTTATTTGAGTGCATGAGCCTAAGGAGGCCAGAAGGGGGTGTCAGAGCCCCTGGAGCTAGAGTTACAGGTGCTGGTCGTAGGCTGGTAGAGATGGGTGCTGTGAACCCAACTTGGATTTCTGCAATAGCAATATTCACGGCTGAGTCATGTCTCCAGCCCCTCACATTTTTTGATTAAACAATAGTAGCTGTTCTAGAAAAATCTCGAGCTACTTCAAAAGCTCCCATTTTTTCAGGGAAGGAGACACCTGGGCTTTAAGCTCTCTCATAGCCTTGGTCCCCGACCATCAGAGTATTCTGTTTGGCTGGGGGTGGGGTTGGGGCATAAAAAGGCTCCTTGGACTGAAATCCAGAGTCTCAAAGCACAGGCCACATCCAGCTTGCTTCAAGGGTGTGTTATGCTCCAAAGGAAGAAGGCAATCCCCCCTGTCTCTGGACGCCTGAGACTTTGGTTTAGCCTTGGCCTTGCTCATTGCCCTTGAGAAAGACGCTTCCCCAGGCAGGAGCAGGGTTTGCTCGCTCTGTTCTAGGCTGGCTTTTGTTTTGTTTAGTGTGTGGGAGACAGTGTTTTATTCTGCCTTGATCATCCTTCCTGTGTAACCCGGACTGACCTCAAACTCCGGGTCCTTTTGCCTCAGCCTCCCCAGTCCTGGGAGCACAAGTGTTCACCACCACTCCTGACTTCCCTTAAACTTTCTTTTGTATTCCCCTTGTCTGAGGAAGCAGGGAGACACCACTGACCCTGGTGACATCCTTACCCTCACTGCCTAGTACCCCAAGGTCCAGACTCATGCCTGTTAGCCTCAGAACTTTGCACTCAGTGACTTTGCACATTTTACAATCGTTTTTTATATTTTGGGTTGTGAGCCTAGCCTTTAACGGCTGAGCCATCCCTCCAGCCCTACAATCGTTTTTTAATGCTCACTCAACAAATTAATTCCCGAGCACCCTTGTGTGGCTGCTCTAACTACTGAGTTTTCTAGGGTAGGAGACTGACTGCGACCCTCCTTCTCTAAGACCTAGAGCCCGGGGACCGATAAACGCAGAAATAAAACCCAAGCTGTGTGACTGTACATGTTCCAAAAATAATGAAGAGACATAGAGCTGAAAAGGGGGTTCCTGGGGGTGCTATTTAACACTGGCTGGTCAGAAGCAGCAATACTGTCATTTGTAAAACAAGAGGAGGCTGGATGGATGGTTCAGTGGTTAAATACATTTCTCTTTTGTCAGAGGGGTGGAGTTTTGGATCCCAGCACCCATATCAGGTCCCTCACAAATGCCTGTAACTCTAGTTCCAAGGGATCTGATGCCCCCTTCTGACTTCTGTGGGTACTTGATGCACGCTCATGTGGGGGCATGCATGCACTCATACACAGATAAAATAAAAAATAGAACAGTTGGTCATGGTGGTACATACCTTTAATCCCGGCACTAGGCTGGCAGAGGCAGTTGGATTCTGTGAGTTCCAGGCCAGCCAGGGTGACATAGTGAAACCCTATCTCAAATAAATAAATAAGTAGCTGGGCATCGTGGCATATGTCTTTAATCCCAGGACTCTGGAGGCAGAGGCAGGTGGATCTCTGTGAGTTCGAGGCCAGCTTGGTCTACACAGAGAGTTTTAAATCATCCAGGGTTACAGAGTAAAACAAATAAACAAACATCACACACACACACACACACACACACACACACACACACACACACACACAAATAAAAACGAGAACAGGCATGGTATTGTGGCACACACCTGTAACCCTAGTACTCTGAAGGCCGAAGCAGAAGAATCCCAAATTGAAAGTAACCACCCTGGGCTGCACAGAGACCTTGTCTTGAAAATCAAAGCAAAAAATAAAAATGAGAGGGTTGTGGTGATGGGTGGGGTGGAGTAGGGGGAGAGAGAGACAGATAGACACACAGAAACAGAGACAGAGAGAGAGAAAGAGGGAGAGAAACAGAGAGAGAGAGCTAGCCTCCACCCCTTTCTTGCAGATGAGTTTTTCCATTTCGTTCTCCTCTGCTTTGCCATTGGGTCCTTGCTGGTGTGTTATCACTACTACGCAGGTGAGGCTCCCTGGGGACCTTGGAAGGGGCTGCATGGGAGGATAGGGCGCTGACTTACAACCCAAAGGCTGACTGTTCTTTCCTTGCTGCCCTTGAAGACTGGTTCATGTCCCTCGGGGTCGGCCTGCTCACCTTCGCCTCCCTAGAGACCATCGGCATCTACTTCGGGCTGGGTAAGTGGTCCTATCAAAAAGCTACACAGACCCGCAGGCTCCTGGAGGGAGAGGTGGTTGCTGGACCGGCCATCACTCTCGCCAAGAGTCATGATCTAAACTTTTTTAAAAAGTACATTCCTTATGTTTGTGTTTTCTTCCTGACCGCATGTGAGGTCAGTGAAAGGTCCTTGGCAGAAGCTTGTGGAAAAAGGGGGCAGTCCCACAAAAACAGTTTAAAGTAGTAAACACGCATAGCTCCTCAGATACTGAAAACAAGCTGGTGGAGCCAGGCAGCAAGGTCGCGGGCTTCCTGTCCCTGTTATTACTGCCTGTGACTCTTTTCCGTGTAATAACCACAGCACTGTTATTGACGTTAGCCTAAAATTGCATGTCAGGGCTTTGTTTGCGTGGGGTGTGCCTCGGTCCTGGGGCGGCAGGGAAGGAGCCTGACCCTGGGGCTCTCCAGGGGCCACCATCCTGACCAACATTTCCCCTTGCTTCTGAGCAGTGTACCGGATCCACAGCGTTCTTCAGGGCTTCATCCCCCTCCTTCAGAAGTTCAGGCTGCCAGGTAATGGTGCTGCACATTTCCCCAGCCAAACTCTCTCCTGATCGGGACTTTCTTCTTCCAAAGAGGTCTGCTGTCTAGGGAAAGTCCTGGAGGCAGGGGGCTCCGGCTCCAGTTCTGCCTCTGCTCTGTGACCCCAGACAGCCTTTTTCTGTGCTGGCGATGGAACCCAAGGCCTGCAGCATGCTAGAGAAGCCACAATCCAGCCGTCTGTGGCCTCTTTGAGCCTCAGGTTCCTCAACTGGAAAACTGATGTAATTCTTTCTGCAAGGGGTGGCCCATCAAGTAAAGAAGGATGAGGAGGGCTGTAAACATAAACACTAAAGAAAAGCAAAGAACCTGTACTCCCCAAATGCTACTTCCTCTCTGGTTGTATTAAGTAACTTTGTAGTTGCCTTTGAAATAGCCTGGGCTAATGTAGATTCTCTATGAGTGTGTGTGTGTGTGTGTGTGTGTGTGTGTGTGTGTGTGTGTGTGTGTGAGTGTGTGTGTGTGTGTGTCTGGTGTGGCTAGGATGGGACCCAAGGCTTCACATACACTAAGAAATTGCTCTGCTGCAGAGCCATACTCCCACCCATTGTCTTTGACCAGCAGCCCAGGAGCTTTGTACTTGGTGATGTTGTGCCTCAGAGTCTGGAAGCCAGGGAGAGTGTGTCTCTGTCCCGGGGGTGGGGGTGGTAATGTCTTCTCCACAGCTATGGACCATGGGGAACCACAGTGCCTTCAGGAAGGGCCACTTGCTACCTTCCCTGTATTTTGGGGGCCTTTGAGGTGGTGGTGGGGTCAGGACTTGACTGCCTGCAGAATCCTATACCATCCTGCAAGCTTTGCTTTCCAGGGTTCAGGAGAACCGACTAAGAACGTTGCCTGAGAGCAGATGAGCCACTCCCCCATGTGACCACTGTCACCACTGCTGTACCTGAGCCCAGAAGACAGAACCGACATGCTGGAAGCCACCAGGAGGCCACGCCTGGGCACTAAAGAGCTCTTTTCTTCCATGTGGTCTCAGTGTTGGCAGCAGTGGGCAGGCTCTCACTCTGCAGATTAGCACACAGTCTGCAGGGGGGAGAGAGAAGGGATGGCATCTAAGTCTGCAAGAAGGACCTAGGACACCATTGCTCTTGGGGCAACATGAGTCCTGGGCCCCACAGGCTGGCATCTGTGGGCTTGGGTCTCTCTCATATCCTCAGGCCATGCCCAGAAGCTCACAGTTTCTGCAGAGCCATCCTGGGACAGACAGTCTACTACCCTGAGGCAGGGAGCTACCAGGCTGGGTCCCCAGGGGAACCTGTTTCAGATAAGATGCCTGGGACTAAAGCTGTGGCCCCATCACCTAGTGACCACCCTGTCATCCTTGGATTCCTTCAAAACTCAAATAAACATTCTGTTCTCGATGCTAAAAAGGGTCACCTGAATATTCCTTTAGGATTTTTTTTTTTTGTTAATTTTTTACACGGGCTCTCATGTTGCCCATGCTGGTTCAAGCTTTCCATGTAGCTGTGGCAGTTTGAATATAATTGATCCCCATAAGCTCATTGGGAGTGGTACTGTTCGGAGGTGTTGCTTTGTTGGAGTAGATGTGGCCTTGTTGGAGGAAATGTGGCCTTGTTGGAGGAAATGTGCCACTGTGGGGGTGGGCTTTGAGGTCTCCTATGCTCAAGATATGCTCAGTGTCTCAGACCACTTCCTGTTGCCTGCGAGTCAAGATGTAGGACTCTCAGCTCCTTCTCCAGCACCATTTCTGCCTATATGCCACCATGTCATACCAGGATGATAATGAACTAAACCTCTGAAAATGTAAGCCACCCCAATGAAATGTTTTTCCTTTATAAGAGTTCCTGTGGTCATTGTGTCTCTTCACAGCAATAGAAACCCTAAGACAGAGGCCAGGGCTAATGTTGAATTCCTGTTCTTCTTGCCTCCACCTCCCGAGTGCTGGGATCTTAGGTGTGGTGTGTGCCACTGTACCTAGTATAATGTGTGGCTAGGAATTGAACCCTGTGCCCAGTAGGCAAGCATGCTACCAGCTGAGCTATATCCCTGGCACTCCTTTAGGTCTCTTGAGCATGAGAACACATTTGGAGACTCTTTTGAAGCCATCTAGGTGAGTGAGCACTTATCCAATTGCATAGAGTATAAACAAGAATGTACGTATAGTGACTCGTGTAAAATTCAGGACTTCATTTGCACAGCTGGGGATGGGAGGAGGGGGTTTGCAAACATTCCTGTGGAAAAAATGTGTGTGCGTGTGCTGGAGACCTGGTTCAGAACTTACCTTGAGTTCACAAAGCTCTGGATTTAACCCCAGCAACATACAAACTGGGCATGGTGTTGCATGCTGATAATCTTAGCACTGGGGAGGTGAAGGCAGGAGGATCGGGAATTTAAGACCAGCTACACAGGGAGTTGAAGAGCAGTCTGAGTCAGTGAGATTCTATGTCAAAAAATAACGGGGGTGTGGGATTTGGTATTTTCAGGTCAACAAATCCGAAGAGTGTAGCCCTGCCTGGTTAGGAACTGACTATGTAGACCTGCTCTGGAACTCCTGGAGATCCACACCTGCCTCTGTGTCTCCAGTGCTGAGATTAAAGGTGTGTGCCGCCATGCCCAGCTCAGAGGACAACTCTTGGGAGTTGGTCACTTTCTCCCACTCTATGGGATAGAGGAGACCAAGCGTAAGGATGCAAGGCTGGCCCTGGTGCCCTGCTGAGCCATCTTGCTGATTCAGCTCTAGACTTTATATCAAGGGCAACAATGCCAAGCTACAGAACAAAAAAAGAGACCACGCATGTCCTCATGTGCCTGTAACCCCAGTGCTCAGGACACAAAGGCAGGAGGGTCACTGCAAGCTAGGAGCTAGCCTGGTTGGTGATTTCTGATGGCACTGCACACATGTGACCTCCAAGGGCATGAGGCACACACACATGTTGTGCACAGACATATATTCAAACAAAACACTCATACACATAGAATAAAATACATACATCTAAAAAGAAATAAAATAAAAGTTTTAGGATAGAATTACCATATGATCCAGAAGCTTCACTTCTGGGAATATATACAAAAGATATTTTAAGAGGTATTTGAACACCTGTGTTCATAACAGAAATGTTCATAACAGACTAGTTGTAAGAACAAGCCTGTAGTACCAACACTCAGAATGCTGAGGCAGGAGGGTCACTGGCTTGAGCCTAACCTGGGCTATGTAGCAAGATCCTGTTTCAAAAAGCCAAAATTATAAAAAATGAGAAAATACATTTTTAGAAAATAAATTGTAGGGGCTGGAGAGATAGGTCAGTTAGTAAGGTGCTTCTCAGGTGATCATGAGGACCCAAGTTCAATTTCCAGGTGACCATGAGGACCCAAGTTCAATTTCCAGGTGACCAAGAGGACCCAAGTTCAATTCCCAGCACCCACATAAAAATCGAGGTGTGGCAAATAGCGCCAGCCTGGGCTGGGGTGGTGGTGCAGAGACAGGTGAATCTCTGGGACTTGCTGGCCAGCCAGGTACCAGCCAGCCCCCTGTCTTGGTAAGAGACTCTGTCCCGACAACAAAGTGATTGACTCTGGACTGCCACGCATAACCACACCACACATGTAAATATACTTGCACTCCCATGTAAAAGCCAAAAACTTAAAATTGAAGAAGAAAAAAATTTGAGGAACCTTTAATCCCAGCACTTAGGAGGCAGAGGCAGGCACAGTTCTGTGGGTTCTAGGCCAGCCAGGGCTACAGAGTAAGACCCTGTCTCAACAAAACAAAAAGTGTTTTAAGAGGCTAAAAGTACAGGCCAATGGTTGAGTGTTTGCATACAAGAGGTCTTGGGTTTGAATGCCCAGCACTCAAAACAAAAACATTAAAATGGTGGAATCTATAATTTACCATTTTTTTAGTCTCATTTATTTATTTATTTATTTTTGCTTCTTGAGACAGGGCTCTCTGTGAAGCTCTGGCTGTCCTGGAACTTGCTCTGTAGACCAAGCTGGTCTTGAACTCAGAGATTTGCCTGCCTCTGCCTCCTGAGTGCTGGGACTAAAGGTGTGCGCCACCACTACCACCTGGCTAAAATCTCAAATTACTAGTGGCCATAAAAACTGGACATGACCTACAGGTTATAAGCCACCGGGCATGGGGCTGCCACCGTGTTCAGCTGGAGCTGGGAATGGAAGGAAGAACAGAATGGGAGCGAAGAACCAGAGCAAGGACATGGTCATGTCGATCCTTGGCAGCCTAGACACATCTGAGGGACACAAGTACAACCTGACTCTGCTCCTGGTCACCTTGGCCTCTGGAACCCCTGTTGCTAGAGAAGGGATCAGATGAGTCAGGTTGTTGGTGTCCTTTGTGTCCCCAGGTCTCACAGCTCTGCCAAGAGTCTGTCTGTGTAGTGTGCTGCCTCCTAGGACCCAGCCTAGCACTGACCTTGACGGTTCTCAGCTTGTGTGTACCACTGGAGTTCAAGCCAGGGCTTGGGCTCTGGTTATATCTCAGGCTGTGCATTCTAGGAGCCCCAGTCCAACGTGGGGTCTCAAAATAAAGAATGGAATCCTAAGCTGGGTAGACAGGATTGAAAAACGGAGGGACTTTGGTCCTTGGCCCTCCTGGACCCTGGGCACCAGACTTCTGCTGTCATCCTCACACAGGCCAAAGGGAGTAGTGAGTGCATTCTGAGACCACGCAAGCAGACTTGTACTGGGAGAAAGGTCAAGCCCAGGAGAACAGTGACAGTTGTTTGTCCCAGTCTCCTGAAAGGGACCCAGTTCAGATGTTGCTATTCCCTAAAGGCTAGGTGTTGAATGCTTGGTCCCCTTGGTGCTACTGGGAGATGGGGAAATCTTCAGACAACGGAGCCCATAAAGCCTACTGGTGGGCAGAGGATGGCATAGCATGATGGCTTTAGAAAGATTTCTCTGGCTGCCCTCCTCAGGCTGTGGGGACAAGAGTCTGGACTTATAGACAGATCTCCAAGATCAGGACCATAATTGACCAAGGCCACACTTCCCTATCACAAGAGAGATACTGAGGCAGACCCATAGATACCTGGAGACACAGATACCTCTGACGGCCAACTTTAGCTCACAAACTCCCCAACATGGCAGGTGGACACAAGGTGGCAGGCAAGTAGAGACTTCTCTCACCCACTCTGCCCTGTTCTCCCCATCTGGGGACTTCCACAGCAGCCTTCAGCCTTCCCAGCTCCCTCCTTACTTGCTCTCCCACCCAGACTTTCCCTTTAAAAGTCCTTGAACATCTACTCTCACCCTGGCATTGGCTTCTGAAAGGATCTAGACGGCAAAGCAAGTTTTGTCTTTTTCTATTTCTATGACATAGTAAACAACAACAACAACAACTAATGGTTTATACCTGTAATCCCAGCACTCCAAGGCCCAGGCAGGGGAATCGGGTTTGAGATCTCTCTTCCCTAGCTCCATCCACCACAGCATAAGCTCTCTCAAGCATTCTGAGCCCCAGCACATGCTGTTCTGTGCCTGGCTATGGACTTCCCAGCATCCTGCTTATTGTCAATCAGATGCTACAGACAATCCCCTGATCACAGCTATGACAACGAAAAGTGTCTCCAGCAGTTAACAAATGTTCTCTGGGGTTGAGGGGATAGCCGTACTCCATCCCCTCCCCTATAGGCCTTTGCTGGTTTGACTAAATGCTGGGTCTAGTCTAAAGCATAGCAATTGACCAATCAGTATTAGCCTGCTTCTGGTCTCAGAACTCAGCACAGGCAGAGCCTGGCAAATAAAGGTTTGATGAGTGAATAAATGACAGATGGAGTGTGTGCTCCTACAAGGGTTGGAGTAGCTCAAAATTGTCCAATGTATCCTCCCTCCCCATAAGAAGATTATAGCAGAGAAAAGGCTTCAGGCCAGTTCAAAGATCTGGTCAAGGTTGCCCTGGGACACCCTTCCAGGATGAATGGTTTGAAAGAGTGTCTTTACTCCGAATCTCAGTGAATTCTTTCCATCCTCGGTTCCCTCTGTTCTGTCTCCACCTGCATTCTGTCCTCAGTGTGACTCAGAAGCAGCATGAGATCCCGACACAA